TCCTCGTATAACCAGATACTCTTCTTGGCAGTCCTAACTGACGTTGGCTCAAACGGCGCCTCCTATTAGCAGTAAAACGGTGCCTTTTTCGGGTTTCGTGGGCGCAGTCTGGAAGTTGGAGAGCGGTTTTAACCCCACTGAGTGTCTCCTGTCTGTGGGCTAATGCAGCCTGCACACAGATTTGCTGGTCGGAGAAAATAGCTCTGGCAGTGGCAAGCAGATCAAAGTGATCAGACGAGTAATCCCCTGTGAGTCAGATGAGAACCAGCTGGGGGGGCGAGGCGAGACGTCCCTGCGTATGCGTACGGGGAAGGCCGGAGCATTTATGCACATAATATTTTTCACTCCTTTTTGTGCATAATCACAGTTTAGAAGTGTATGATCTTATGATTGTGTTTGTGAGTGTTCAGACAGACAAAAATCCTCCTCCAGTGGTTCAATTTGATCTTCCTGTAAGGTAACTTTGAAGTTAAAGGGTATGTTTTGCTTTGACTGAATCAGAAAATTACCCATTGAGCACTGTAATTTCCCCTCAGCAAGGAGTGCCAGCTGTTGCATACTTAGCAGCCACACACTTTCCTCAGACACATTACTAATTGCTGGATGGCCTTATGTTTCTGAAACTGTAGCTGTATCACTCTCACAAGCAGAGTTATCAAACCGCCGTGACACAGACGTTACTGGTTTGTGGTAATGTGTCATGATGTGGAGTCCCGGGGCTCGGAGCGAAAATAAAAAAGAAACAAAAAGTACAAAACTAACAGAGACAAAACATGTGCTTCAGGTATGAATTTCTGTTCACAGCAGCTTTCCATATTTTGTCAACCATGAAGATAAACATTTTTTTTATTTGGGTTTTATATTATAGACCAGCAAAGTGGTGCATAATTATGAAACAAAAGGAAATAGTTGACATAGTTAACTTTTTATTTCACAAATCAACATGCTGCCACCACCATGTTGTCCAAAGTGATGAGCTTCTTGTGACGCATAAAGTTGTGTATGTCGACCAAATGACATTTTAGAATCATCTAACCAGAGCATCTTCTTCCACATTTGTTGTCATGACAACGTGACAATGACTCCATGATGGCTGTTGTTTTACTATGGTCTGTTTTAAGTTAATTTTAGAATTGATGTTATGTTTGACATTTCATCTTGCTTTGTTGTTTTATTGTCTTTTAAACTGTTTTATGTTATTAAAAGCCCATCTGGGACTGTGGATTGCAAACTAGCTTAGGTTATAAATGTTGTTTTGCTGAGTACTTGTTTACCCTAAATAATATTTATCAAACAACACTGAAACACAACCAAAAAACCATCACCACTGAAGGTACCTGTGCATAAATGTGGTTTTTAAAAGATAATAATGACATTCGCAGGCGTTCCAATCTAAACAATTTATAGCAAATCATCTTCTATAAATGCTAAATTTGTAGAGCACATAATATCCGAGACTAAATTAGACACAGAGGGATTCTATTTACCAAGTAGGTAACACTTAAAAGAAATGCAGTGGATTTTATTTACGGGTATCGAGGTTAAAGGGGGCTAAATACAAGTGCAAGATCCATAAAATTTGTACCATTTCCTTTGCGTTGACAGTGAAAAGTTCAAAGGGTGTAAATACGTTCGCATGGCATTACTGCATGCATTCTGGGGTTTTACATGTTACAGAAATAGTCTTGATATTTTAAAGTTAACAGTGACACAGATATTGTAATTTCTCAAGCCTTTGTTCTTTGGTTTATTGGTAATGCAGAAATGTCATCAGACTTTCAACTCACTGGAAATTTCACCCAGTGTGCGTGTGTGCGTGCGTGTGTGTGAATGTTTGACCTCAGCTCTGAGCATTTTGAGGGAAATGTTTTGGTATGACTCACATTTCCCTCAGTATATTGCGCTCCGTGGGTGTATTTGCCTGCACTCAGCAAATGCTTGTCAGACACCGAGGGCGTTTTAAAGCACAGGTGCAAGTGAAAGTATTATCCATCCATGCAGCAGCGGTAGAACCGGTCTGAGTAGGATGAGGTGGTTTTTTTCTTCTCCGGGGCTTTCTGCCAAAGAGGAAGTTTTTGTTTTTTTCTGCCCTCGGAGGCGTAGCTGTAAAAATACAGTACAGTTGCACAGATGGCCGTGATGAGTCATGTCACGAGGCTTCCTCCTTTTCTGCTGGATAATCCTCATCAATTAGCTCTATTGTCAGCTGGCTTTTCACACTCGTAAAAATTATGCCTGAATGCTCTGCAGCGGTGAATCTAGACCTGGCTCCTTTTGAGTAGCAACTCAGTCATCGGGGAAAGAAAAGTAGAGGTTTTTTTTTTTTTTTTGGCATCGCTTTTTACTCCTCAGTGACTTTGGATGATTTATTTACGAAGCTCGGTGGCATTTGAAGCCATACCCTCCCACCGTGTGCTGTCATGAATAAAGACGCAGTTGCATCATAGTGGTTTTCAGTTCCTTCCAAAGACACACCCAGAAAAGGAGCGTGGAAAAATAAAAAAACTGTACAAGTGGGAAAGGCGGTGAGCAGGCTCTTACCTGTCCTCGTCCCGCTTTGAGTATTTCAATGAGGTTTTGTTATCTCTGCTGCTGCTTTCATGGTATCAGTGACAGGAACTGGATACAGCCTCATGAGATTTTTCTGAGGCGCATTTGCTGGAAACACTATCCCACGCTTGAACAAATACAGACACACAAACAATTAACATGAAAAAAGAAATGTCTGAGTTCAATGAAGAATAACCGAGCAGTGACAGTTTATCGGTTCTTGTATTAAACTTGACCTTTGAGCCTTTTGTGTGCAGAGTGATGTCAAGCACAGCGGCGGAACAGCAGTAGTAGAAAGCTCTGTGAATCTAGTTCGGCTTTAGGGGAGAGTCGACTATATTTGAAGCAAATATAAATTGGCTTGGATGAAAAATTATTGGTTTCAAGTGAAAAATTGATAAAGATAGGATTTATGGCTCTTTGAAGACATCTTGTGTGTGGATCAAAGGACTGGCTTTCATATTTTTTTCTGCTGTGTGTTGGATATGCATGTGAAGACAAATGAGCAATTCACATGTATTGTTGCACAAATTCCCAACAGTGTTTTAAAGAATTTGTTCAGTATTGTGTAAATATTCTAGGTGTTAAATTACAGATAATCAAATTAAGTCCAGATTCCATTAAATAGGAATAACTGAATCAGACTCCAACTTCAATCTGATCTCCCCAGACTGAAGTGTGTGTTTGGATCTCATTTCACGGATACCTTTTTCTCGGGGTGCTCCTGCCACCCTCTCTTACAATTGTGCCCAGGGCATGAACCATGTCAAGAACCAGCTCTGCAAACACTCCAAGTCAAGTCAAAATAATTTTCAGTGCTGATACGACTAAAACTTTGTTGACTTTTGAATTCGTCTCAACTTCTCTGAGGTAGCTGGAATAAACTTTAAGAAGCTGAGGCCAAATACAAAAAAAAACAAGCCTACAGCAGTTTCTTTTCTCTTAGCTCATCCTTAGAGCTCAGAGTATTAGTGAGTCTTGTTGGAGGAAGGGAGTGTGTGACTTATAGTCTGTCTCGATGTGACGTTGCAGTGGAATCTGTGAATGGTGTGAGCGCATGTGTTGTTGTGGTGTGATTAACACTTACATCATGAGGTAGGTGTGTGACAGAGAAACGCTTCGCTCGACAAGAAATGAGGACACTGCATCTGCTCGCTACTGAAAGTGGGGCAGCTTCAGAAAACTTACCACATAAGTAAAAGGGGGTGGGGGTGTATGAACGACATGTTTTTGTCTAATCCTCCTCTAGCATTAAACAAGATTTCAATTTAAAGAAACTTCTCTGTTGCTGCTGCACTTTCTAAAACAGGCCTTGAAAAATAATTTGCAGAACAGTGGCACCGTAGCAGAAATTTTGAGGGCTGTTTCTGTTGATTCAGGGGAAAATCCATTTTACAAGACGCGCTGCCAGCCAAGAGCTCAATTAGTGCTGTAAAAAGACGGGGAAAAAATCTTGTTGAAGCAGAGTTGAAATTAAATTTTGTGAATCCTGCCAACTTCTGACACAAGGCAATCAATGACTTCACCGACATATCAAGCTGTGTCATAAATTAAAGTGTTTCGTTACCTACAACCTTGATCCGCAAGAGTGAGGCAATTTCCCCGTCTTTGCTGTTGCAGACGAGTCGCGACGCTCCAGCTGTACTCCTGCGGATATTCAAATAATTGCCCTCTGTGCGGCGTGAGAGAATGAATTTGAATAATGTATTGCGACGGGAGTAAGGCCACTGAGGTCGTAAATTCTGCTGCTAAATCAGCTCAGCCCGGGGAGAGAAGGGAGGCACACAGGGTTGTTTATAAAATGCCCTTGGAAAAATGAGTCTAATCCCCAGCCAAACCGTAAGCCATGGGGAGAGCATTAGATAACCCGCAAGCTGCAGAGTAATGGGAGTAATGAGAGAGATGGAGAAGCAGCGCCAAGACAGAGAGAATGCATCCATTTGTTGGCTGGATGCTCTGATTGCTCAGACCATTTGAGACAAACTGGAGCCTGACACAGTGCTGGAGTCCATTTCGTCTGATCAGCAGCAATAAGCACTTTCCACAGCCAGTGAGTGCTCCAGACTGCCCACAGCCATACATTATGCACATGGCGTAAACACTTAAGTTATCTCTGCTTGTCTGGCATCAAAATTAGGAACCAGAAATACCACATTTTAAGATCCAATGCAATCGTAAAGTGGACCTATTGTACAAAATTCACACAAATATTCATACGTTTTTGCATTTCCATTTGCGTCTCTGTTGATTCCAAAAAACAAAAAAACAAAAAAAAACAGTCCGATTGTCAGATATTTTTTGGCAATAAGTTCATGTCTTTGGTGTCTGGAAAATGAGACGTTTCAAAAACCTCGGGAGCTGCTTCGTTACCTAGTAACCCCAGTCAAATCTAGCCCTGTCACCTAACAACCCAAGCTGAACCCCAGCACATTTGGTCAGTTGGTTTAACTGCTGTATGTGCTGTACAATGGCTGCTGGAAAAGACAAGTGTTTTGTTGATGACTTTCCATTTAGAAACCACTTGATGCACTTTTACTGGTTCCGCTTCTGCATTTCAAAGATGTATGGTTGTATAATTCTGCATGTGTTTGCAGCCATTTTCACGTGTGAGTGTAAACACTGAGTTAGGGGGCGTGGCCAACAGGAGCTTATTTGGATTTAAAGTGACAAGAAGATATTAAAACAGTTCATTCTGAAAGGAGATGAAAATAGGCAGCACAGACCAGACTAAAATCTCACTATCTAAGAATGACTTTGTGCAAAAAATGTAATGAACATAGACCTACTCTAACCTGTTCAGGGAAGCATGACATGTCACCTTTAAATCTACTGTTCTGGACCAATGTTAAAAAACAAAAATCATCTAAAATGTCTATAATCCAGGAAGAACGGTTACTGACTGCATGTTTCAGGACAGAGACGCTCCACCTTTGTTTTCACACTGCAACCAGCGTTAACACCTCAGTGAGTGTCAGCTGTGATGTGGATGATTAATATCTTACACATCCAACTGTGTGGGAATGTGACTGAGGGTGGAGATGAATCCAGGTTTGGCTGCCGTCACTGATCTGGTTGAAATTAAGTATTTTTTTTCTGCTCTTATACAACACAAATGCACTGGCTCCTCCAACACAAGACGGTGCTCGCCGTCTCTTCACACAGACAAACACACTGGTCTAGCAGGCTTAGGGCTCAGATTCCCCAGCTTCCCTTGATGTCTCATTAGCAGCAAAAACAGGCTTCCTCCTGTTAAGCCAGAAAAATGAGATGGGTTGAGGGTGTTCGTGTGTGTGTGTGTGTGTGTGTGTGCTTTGTTAGGGTGGAGGTGGGGTTTCCTGAAGGGTACTTTAGCAGAGCGCAGGTGAGCCATGGAGCTTGCTGTCTAGCATGCTGGCTTGGTAACTGCAGTGTTATTGCCTCCAGAAGTGTTCCTGTAAATGAGGGCTGCTTACCTGCCTGCTTGCCTGCCTGCCTGCATTCCCCCCAGCCTTCCTCTGGCAGCCCATCCCATAAAGCTTGGGTGACAGAGCAGGTAATAAACGGATTGAACACAATGAGTCAGCACTTTAGCCTCCATTTAATTTCATCTGAATGCAGCGCTGACCCACTCCTCCCACTCATCTTATCCCTTAAAGGGATAGGTCAGTATTTTTGTCGTGAGGTTACGTTAGAAGGTTCCAAGGAGTTAATATCTTACTTGTAGGAGCTAAAGCTCTTGGCAACTTTATTTCATACGAATCCAGATTAGTCGGTCCTGGAGGCTGAAGTTAAGGGCAGGTGTTGGAGGGGCAAATACCAAATCAGGCCTTTACCACAGTGAAAAATAATATTAACGTTTAACATGGGGTCACAGCTTCTTTATGTGGTTATTTGTGCAGCATCTCTATTCTTCCCACGTGAAACACTGACTAATAACCAAATATGTAAAACCTCAAAAAAATAACTATTCAAAAGCTAAGAGATTACAACAGCTAAGAGTTCACTTTAGCTGTTGTAACATTTTTGTTTTTTACAACCAAGGTAATCCAGATTAATTGGTCCTGAAATCCAAACCTAACAGCTTATATAAAAGAGTTTGAGACCAAAGTGGATTTTTACCATCTTGAAACAACTTCAATCAACAAATCAACATAATTACACTTTATGCAAACGTTGATGTCAGAACTTTTAACCCATCATCCCATTTGCCTTAGTTGGTTGTTTAAACAGAAATGCTTGATTAATCATGCAGGAAATGGAGGTTGGAGGCAGTGTACCATAGATGATATACTTATGTCAAACACATCCAAAAATGTGTTTGAAACATTTAATAGTTTGATATATGACCATCCCCCCCTCCCCCCCACAAAATTAGCTAATATGCATGTGACATTACTAATCTCATGCTACATTATGCAGACTCTCTGCCTACACTGATGAAGATCCTCACATTTAATTAGCCCCACCCAGTTTTTGATTAATGTAACTAAGACAATCAAGATTTGACGACTTGAGGGGAATCAAAGTCCCAGTTGATCCTTGAACATTGGAAAAATAATAAAACTACAGAGTAAAGCTGCACATACACTTCAAAATAGCTGCATATCTAAAGCAAGACAAAAATGCCAAAGCTATGAAAACACCTAAAATGCTTTGTAGTTGATACATTTTCTTTCATAAGTGAAGGCACATGCTAGAAAAGAAAAGTGTGACAGCAGCTAAAATAATCATTGAATTCCTTCCAATGTTTTTGAGACTGGAGTTGTCTTAAGAAGGTGGAAGTGCTATTGCCTTCTGAGACAAGCCAGTAGCTTCAACCTATCTTGGATTCACACTAAATGAAAACACCAAAAGAGTCATCTACTGCAAGTAGTATATTAGGTTTAAGAATAAAACAGAACCTCACTTCAAATTTACAGAACTATCCCTTTAAGCCTCCCCATTCCACCACTTTCCCCCGTCCTTGCAGCAGACTAAACCTCTCTCCGTCCCCTGAGTCAGAACGGGAGATTTTAAATCTGTGGAGATAAGTCAGCGTTACAACCATGCACAGCCAGTGTCTCCAGCTGGAAGTGAGCGGTAAATCAAAAGTGCGTGCTTCCACCGTATCCTTCCTTTATTATTTTTGGTGTGCAGCCTCCTAAACTTGGTCCTGCTGACAGTGAGTGTTGGTGTTTGAGAGGACAGGAGGAGGAGGAGGTGGGGGCTAAAGTGGGAATGTAGGCCACACATTCCTTTCCTAGGAGCTGTCTCAACACAAGCAAACAGTGCTGCCCAACCGCACCGAGATTCCACGTAGTTTCTTTGAGTTTTCTTCTTGCTTCTTGCCCGGCTGTGCATGACTTGCTCCAAACACATATTTCTGAAACCGATTTGTTTCCTTCCGTTAAACAAATCCATATTTTCTCTTTGTGCTACATCAGAATAATTATTTTGTTTTCTCTTTCTGTCATGCAGTAAAGTGCATACTTAGATAAAGGGGTTTAAAATGTGTTATAACTCTTCATAGCATAAGATTCTTTGTCATCTGTTGCCTCAAAATGGGTTATCCCTGCATACTTCCTCTTTCTTCTGCACTCTGTATGTGTCATAAGTCCTCCAAAGGACTTATGACAATAATAGCCAGACCTTTTCTTTCCTTCATCTCATTCTGCTTTTCTATCCCCTTCAATCGCCTCTCTCTCTCTCTCTCTTTTTCCTCTTTCTTCTTATTTTTATCTCCCTGCCTTTGTTTCTTATGCAGCTGCAGTACAATAACAGTGTTTGAGTGCAATATTCCAGACAGGACTTTGGTTTAAATAAGCACCCCCGAGGCCATGTAATAACCCAACAACCCCCTCCGTCCTGGTCTCCTAGTCAGTCCCTCAGCACTCAGGCCCGGTCCACAACACGATCCTCCTCACACACACACACACACACACACACACAGACACTACCAGCCTCTCATTGAGCCAACCAGCCAGGCAGCCAAACCACCATAGGAAAAATACAGAGCATGGAACTGTGATTCACAGTCCTGATATAGAATATCACCTCCTCCCTTTTCCCAGCTCCAACAGCTGGTTTCCTGGAAGCTAGTTTTTGTGGTGTGAGTTCAGCGAGGGGGAAAGGCGGGGGTAATCAAGGAGGCCCTGCCTCTGCTCCTTCACTAGCCTTTTCCTACCTCCCCAAAATGTCTGCTCCAGTCTTTACTGGCAGCTTTTGTTTATGTAAATGCAAGAACATGAACGGTTGCTAAACATGGCTTGACGTAATTTAGGTTGTCTTCTAATGACATCAGTCAGGGTCATGGTTTTCACATGCCGAAGGTCCCCTCGTGTTTGGGGGGACGGTGAAAAGGTTGAAGCGGAGGAGGGACTGCTTCTTCCCACTGCTGTCAAAGTTAGATTAAAGATTCCCCTGAGAAAGAACTAAACCTGCAGATGGCTTTACAGTTGATGACTGAAGAGACTCTATGAATAATGACCTAACCATGACACTAATCTTTAAGAATAAAAACAGAATTAGACTGCTTTGCAAAGGAGATCATAACACTTCAAAACTGCTGGGATTCAGTGTAGCAGACCAAAACAAATTAATGTATGCTGTTAGGTCACGAGAAAAATGATACATGGTTTTTAAAATACTCCAACTTGTGCTAAGTCTCTTTTACTGTGATGCCTATAAATAAAATCCAGCGCAAAAATGTCTATTAGTAAATGAAGTTCAACTGGGTGAAGTTTAATCTCAGCCTTAATGAAGTTGGTCTGTAAAGGCCTCTGAGATTTGTTAGAAAACACTGGTGGAAAAACAGCATCATGAAGACCAAAATACACGCAAAATGGGCCAGAAGCAGACAGAAAGCCCATGTTTACTCTGGAGGAGCTGTAGAAAACCACATCTCAGTTCTCCTAACAGGACAACTAATAACTGTGTACTGCACAAGGCTGGTTTTTGTGGAAAAGTGGTAAGAAGAAAGCAGTTCCCACAAGCCAGGATGGGAAGAAGATGCTCTGGTCAGTTGAGCCCAAAGCTGAACTTATTGGCCTTTATGGAAAGCATAAGCTAAGACTACTCATCTCCCTCAGCTCTCTGTGGTTATGGTTTTGGTGTGTCTTCCTTCCATAGGTTTAGGGAAACTGGTCAGAGCTGGTGCTTAGATGGGTGTAACAGACTGGGAATCCAGGAAGAAAAGCTGTGAAAGACTTAAAAGGCCAGTGTTATGAAATTCCCAGGAACAAAGTGCCATTTTATAGCACAATCAAGTAACTATTTTACCTTCAGTTGTTAGAAAAATGCTGGGGATATCAAACATGACTGAAAAGTAATTTGACTTTGTAAATCAACGTCTTGAAATTGGGCCTCTGTCTCTTTAAGAAGCTCCTGCTCTTTCTGACACTCTGCCTTCAGGAAGTCATCACAACAATATGTTTCCATGAAGCTGTTTACATTGTTCGTAGGAGTGTTGCACTTAGAAGTAGTTTTCATAATAAGCTCAGCAGATACGCAGCTCTACCAGGAGTTTGCTA